CTCATAGCTTTGGGGTCTTTTTTCTCATTCACTTGAAAAGTTCCTGGGCGTTCAGGTAGCAAATCACTCCCTCCACCACCTCCCCTATCCCCCACAGGCAAAAATGCGGAAGCCATTATTGATCACCGACCCTCGCAACCACTGGTTATGGAGGCGAAAATCTCACACGTGGGCGCAGCGCTGTATTCCACTGAGCGTGTGTGAGAGTGAGGCGGAGCGGACAACTACGTCATCAACATGGCGGCAAACAAACGCTATCATTGATGCGCTCGGACGCTTCCCGCGAAATATCCATTATTCAAGAGAATCCAGACGTTATCAAAAATAGGTATCTATTGTAACTTACCGTTATTGTCGAAAACGTTATTGTGGAAGTCGTTATTGGTGAGAGCCTACTGTAGTACATCCTTCTTTCCTCACACAGCTAAACTGTGGAATGCTCTGCCTTCTTCTGTGTTTCCATACTCATACATTCTGTCTCGCTTCAAAAAGCATTTTCCTGCAATATCTTAATAAGAAAAATTTTATCATTACTAAAATGAATGAATTAATATTCCCACAAACAACACTTGACAACTCTGTTTATGTTTCCACCTCCTTGGGCACCTGTGTCCTGCGCGCAGACATCTTAGTTATTTTAACTTACCTCCTTTAGAATTTTATACAGTAATATATTGTATTACTAACCTTTTGGTGAGAGATGCTGGAGTTTGGGTTTTGGGTTTTTGTTCTCAAAACAGTTTGTGAAAAAGAAATGCTGTACATATAAGAAACAGTGGTGATCAGTACATAAGGTGATGCAGGCAGTATTGTGGATAGGGGATTACTGTACTGGGAGTGGAAGGGAGGGATTGCATGATCATCTGGGTCCATTTTAGCGGAAGGGGTAGTAAACACAGCATGCGGACAGAGAGAGAGACAAGATAGGAATTTGCCTCGTCTAGACATCGGTCCGGACCAACCGAAATCCAAATCCAAGCAGTCCGGAAGTGCTGGGGTTTACTGTGTGTGTGTGTACAAGGGTCCCTGGGTTACGAACAAGTTCCATTCATGAGGACGTTCTCAAGTCAGATTTTTACATGTCAGAACACATGCTATGTGCATACCACACTTACAGAACAATGTTTAAAAAGCTACTACAGTAATCCCATGTTTTTTGCGGGAATTACATTCCTAAAACACCCGCGAAAAGCCCAAACCGCAAATACTCTTTTAGGAATCACTGTACCTGTGGTCACCAAACAGCTCAGGTAGGTCATGCAGTTAACCACTCCATGCTCTCCACTCACGGCCCGGTAGTCACACTGATCACTGATGCACTGAACTGGCATTTACTAACATCATTATTTGAAACTAATCATATTGTAGTATAATAATGGAAAAATGTAAACACAGTTATATACAAAAAAAACTTTATTTACAAGTAAATAAAAAAATATATATTTCGCTGAGGTCGGCAACACCCGCATTGCCAGCCTCTCCCTGCTGTCCCGGCGTCTGCCGCCCTCATGCAGTCACACCAGCCAGCCAGTCCTCTTCCACCCACATTCCTCCACTTGAAGACTTGTATTCTGATAAAAGACACAAATGAATTGTCAGTCTTCACCACATCTCGAGCCATAGCTCATACCACCTCTGAGCTTGTCCAATAAAACTGTTTTATCTGTTAAGGTCATCACTATTCTTGATCTCTTGGTCACTTTAGAGTCTTTGCTAGTAATATATGCCTTTGATGAGGCTGGCTTTCTTCCCGGAGCCATGTGGAATGCATTTGGGAGGACAAACAGAAGAGGTAATCACGGTAGCGTTCACAGTACGGTAGGCACGTGTGGACTGAGGCTTCAGGGAGCAGCGAGTGTCTGAGGCGGGAAAGGGTGGCGTCTGTTTGCCGCACGGCGGGTGGCAGAGGGAGGGAGGGAGGACAACTTACCACCTCCAGCTGGGCCACCCACGATCCCTTTACAACAACAGTGCGCAATTTCACCCATATTCCCATATTATTTATATCACTAGGAACTAATTACCCAAAATCCCATTGAAGCAATGGTTTCGGTTAACGAACGACCTTTTGGAACGAATTGTGTTCGTTAACCGAGGTGCCGAAAAATTGGTGGTGTACCTGTACTGTATATGTTTATGGTAAGTAAAATATGTAATTATTTTTACATTGATTTCTTGGTATTTAGCAAATATTTTAAGCTCACCAATTGATCACCTGTATAACATAAAAGTTTGTGATTTATTATAGTTACCATGATACTGTATATAAACAACATATAGAGGAAGAGAAAGGAACAAATAAGAAACCAGACTTTGAATTTCAACCTGCACTCTTGCTGACCATATGGAGTTGCTCAAGCCTGACTATAATAAATTGGATTTCAGGATCAAGTCTCCATTTTGTACAAGCTATCAAGCAGCAAAAACATGTAAAACTCAGGTCTTTTATAATGTAGCCTAGGAGTGAGTACTACCTAGGACACCTAGTTTGATATCATCCGTTAGGTGGTATGAATGTGGTCAGTTGAACCACAGTTGCAAATGTAAGTTGACCGTGAAGAATAGGTGTTTATAAATGAAAAATGAAGTTTGATTTTAGCTTGGTATGTCATTCTTAGGCCCTTCATCTATGCACCCATTATACAGTAGAACGTCAATTTAAAATGATTCAATTTAAGATTATTGATTTAAAGCGACACCCACAATTAAGGTCAATGTTTTGATTGATTTAAAGCGAATCTTTCCTATTTTGCGCTAGTCAATCTGGCGCATCATATTTAAAATTTTGCGCCTAATGTTTCTCTGGGCACTCGACACTGTCCTAAGGGCAAATCTGTACTGGACATGTACAGCTCCTCCCTGACATACGACGGGGTTAGGGACCCAAATCCAGGTCGTAAGTCGAAAATGCTTAAATAATACATAGAAAATCTAAAATGGGTGTCTCTTCTTTCTTCTCAGCACCACAAAACTCTCACTTTTAGGCTTGTCAGCCATTTTAAAGCGAATTACAAACGAAAAAAATTTCTGTGTACTGACGTTGGGACTCGAAAATACATAATTTGACAAAATTTTGGTACGACTGAGGCAGGCCGTAAGGCGGGGGAGGAGCTGTACTCAAAATAATGTACTAAATGATTACTAAAAAAATTTTCTAGTGCAAACTACAGTATAGCATGTTTATATTCAAATTAATAACTATCTTATAAGAATTCCAGTAATGTAAATTATATTCTCCCTGGTCACTTCTGTGACATTATATAAGCAAAAAACATAAACTCACTCTAAAGGACATGAATAAACAAATAAATACTTCACTAGACCTTCAGTGCAAACTGTCAAACATGTCACTGTCACTTCCCTCCCTCCCATCTTCCCAGCCAGGGTTTGGTGTTTTAGGCTTAAAGTTTTTATCTTATATAATGTCACTGACTAAAGTTAGGAGAATATAATTTGTATTGCTGGAATCCTTGCAAGACAGCGAATAATTTGAATATAAACGTCATATGTTTTGCACAAGAGATAAAAGATTTTGCTCTTTATACTAAAATTCTTAAATTAGAACTAAAATTTGTATGTCTAATGCAAGCTATAGCATGTTTATAATCAAATTAATCACTATCTTATAAGAATTCCAGCAATGTTAATTATATTCTCCCATATCAGTTCAGTGACAGTTTATAAGAGAAAAACTTCAAATCACTCTTAAGGGCAGATAAATAAATAAGCACTAGACCTTGGCATCAACTGTCAAACATATCACCTCACCTCCCTCCCTCCCCACCATCTTCCCAGGCAGTAAACAGACCATTTCGCATCCCTTAATTTTAGCTGTGTTGATTTATGAGTGTTTGTTTTAACACAATACTACAAAAAACATAGTTTTGTTTGTTTGGGCTGAGGTGCATCTGGGTAGACTCTCAGTCTTTTTAGTAATTTGTGTTTCTCCCAAGTACCAAACTAAATTATTCCATTGAAACAACACTTCGATCTAGTGCGAATTTGGTTTAAAGCGACCTCTCTTGGAACATATCTTACGTATATCGTTATATCGACATTCTACTGTATATGCCAGGGAGTAGGTTGATTTCTCCTGTTTGTCTATTCATACATACTGTACTTAAGTCTCACTTGATTTTGTTGAAAGGATTATGGTACATAAAGAGTACAGGTATACCCCGATAACCGACACATATAGGAACTGTGAAAAGTCGTTGATTAGTGAATCAATGGTTATCGAAGCAGTTAATCCATAAGAATATAACAAATTTAGGGGGTTAGAGACTGGCCACCCTCTAAAAATCCCATCTACCCTTGATATATCTCTGTCGTGCACACTGTCAAGCAAGAAAATAAAGCAGACATATAAATCAAGCATAATAAGCATTAAATAAGGAATGTAAAGCATAAATTGAGACTTATTTATCTGCATTGAGGATGGTAGAGATGGTATAGGGTGGAAAGTTCAAGTCTCTACCAATCTTTGGTAGTTCATCACCACTCTTATTAAGCCTTGTCACAACCACATCAAGCTACTCTTCTTAGGGGCAGCACAAGAGGAACTGTCACCAGGGTGTTTAGACATGATTGCGAAGCACACGAAGTCAAAGACACAAGGTAAGTGTAAACAGGTGCAGAGAGGCGGGAATGAGTTGGAGGCAACACAAAGAGCCCTTTCGTGGCAAGAATTCACATAATGCCATTGCCCGCTAAATTCAAAACAGCTCTGCCACTTCTTCTCCAATCATCGGATCTCCGGGGTATCAACAAAACTTGCCGGGTATTTTCCCAATATGTAATCATCGGTTATGCGAATCGGCGGTTAATGGGACATTGATTTTCGCAGTAGTATTCCTGTATTTAGGTTAGGACTATTAGATTTAATAGGCTTTATATTCATTCTTGGATTACTTAATTGGATTTTTAAGTTGTTTGATTGATTTTTGTACCAGTAGGTGCTTATGTGTTTCACAGTCATAATTCTTAAAACCCCTTTACAGCAAGGATTATTGGTTGGACACTGTTCGGGAATTGTGGGCAATATACCGGCCATTCGTACTGGATAAATATGATGCACATCTTTGCTCCAACACGGCAATTATGGCAGATGTGTGGGCAGCTGCATATTATTCTCACCTGTGGTCGCGAATGATTGCAGCTGATGCTTTCCAAGCTTTTAAAGATTCAAATGAAGATATCACAGAAGTGGGTTCAAGGTAAGTGTTTGTTTTTTGTTTGAGCAAATTTTTCTTGAAGGAGGCTTTGGCATGGTGCTGTACATGAATGTGATAAGATGGGATGAGAGTCTTCACTAAGTCACACAACAAAGAATAATCATAGTTATTTTTTGAGCTAAAGTTATGCTATGTTTTTCTGATAAAACAATGCTTAAATATGTACGGAATTTTTTCAGACTCTGAGGTGCTCTGGTCACCAGAAATACTTAAAAAAAAAAAAATAATACAGTAATAATAATAATAATAATAATAATAATAATAATAATAATAATAATAATAATAATAATAATGCCTGTTTTTAGAAATGGGAAATATTGATAAAAATATCTTAATATAAGAACCACACTTATTGAATACTGTACAGTGGTCTAATCATATTTGCTATAGGCCTACTGAAAACTAAGACACTGGAGTACTGTATGTAAGCAGGCTGGGGCTGATCAGGTGTTGTAGCATTCGTCAGGTTTATTTATTTATTGAATCAGTCTTATATTCTCATATGATTGGCCTTGTATGTAGTCTCCATGTTTAATTTAAAAATTATTGAGGCCCCGTGAGTATTCAGCTGACTACATTAAAGGTAAGTGCACAGTAGCACTTTATTCATTTTTCATTATTGATTACTTTTACTGTACCGTATTTCATTTTAGATTTTCTATGTGTTATTTTCACATTTTCGACTTACGACCAATTCAACTTACGTCCTGGTCGTCGGTCCCTAACCCCCGTCGTAAGTCGGGAACTGACTGTATACAGTCTCTCCTCGACTTACGACAACCCGAACATACGACGGCCATGGTCTTATAAAATGTTTTTCACATTATATGTATTTTCGAGTCCTGACATTAGTGATTGCGCTATGTACTGACAAAATTTTCGTTTGTAATTCCATTTAAAATGGCTGGCAAGCATAAAAGTAAGAGTTCTCATGGTGCTGAGAAAAAAAAGAGACACCCATTTTAGAATTTCTATATTATTTTCGCCTTTTCGAATTACAACCAATTCAACATTTGACCTGGTCGTCGGGACGGAACCCTGTCATAAGTCGAGGAGAGACTATACAGTAATATCACCGTTAGCTGGAATCCTTCAAACCCGGAAATCTCCGATAGCCTGAATTGAAATTGCTTGGAAAATCTTTCCTAAAGCCGGAATTTTCCAAAAATTTCCGACTTTGGGAAAAAAATTTCCGAGGTTGAAAATTGAGATAATTTTCTGAAAATGTCTTGAATTAACATGAAAGTTAAAGTATTTTTTTTTTTTTGTGTGTGTGTGGAGGGGGGGGGAGGACCTGACCTGACTCAGTGTCAGGTGGAGGTAGGGTGAGGGATTAGTGGTCTCACATTACTGACCTTCTGATGGAATGTCAGGTCACCCTTTCTTGGGTGGGGTATTAGTGGGTTTCATGACCTGAAGATGTCTTGAATAAACACGAAACAAAGTATTTTTGGGCAGATTGTGATAAGTATAAGTATAAATGAGCAAAGTTGTATCCCTTCAACATTACATTACATAACATTTTAAAATATGGAGTGAGAAAGCAGAAAGGTTTGTGTGATTAGAGAGATGGAGTGGAAAGGAGTGATAACATGCACCAGAGTTGCCAAGCAATAAGCTCCTCAACATCTGATCTTTTAATTCACCTCCATGCAGTCACACAACAAGACCCTCACTGGATGCTTGTTGTCTTAATTCCCGTGTGTGTGTGTGTGTGTGTGTGTGTTTTGAGCTTGCCAAGCTCATTGTAGGATTTGAAGAAGATGATGAAGAGTTTGTTCAGGAGTCAGGTGGTGAGGTAACATGCCAAGACACTTACACTGCACACACATTAACAACACTACTAAACCATTGTCTTATAACATTTTACATTATAATTTCAGTTTTTTTAAATAAATTGACACATGATAGCTCGACAGGGCTACTTTTACACTTAGACAAATGATCAATGAATAAACCAGGGCATACGGAGACTCATTATACATTAGTGATGTCACAAAGCTTTGAAACTGCAACCACATAAATTATCACAACCTGTACTCCGATGTACCAAGTTAACTACTAAAATTATTATGCAAGGAGCGAGACAAGGGATGTTTATAATCAAATTAATCGCTTTCTTACAAGAATTTCAGTAATGCAAGCTATATTCTCATAAGTCAAGTCATTGGCATTTTAAAAGCAAAAAATAAAACCCTTCTACGTTTCAAAAGCCTTGAGTATCCATTAATCTCCCCATCCATTCCCAGCCAGAGGGAGAAGGGTCCCGGGGGTGGAGTAAAAATGACCGTGACACTCCCCCCCCCCCAAATGGCTAATTCCTCTGTGTGTGTATGTATCTATCTGTGCGTGTGCATGCATGCATGCGTGTGTGTGTATGTTACAAAATAAGTGATGCTTATACTCATATTAATCGCTATCTTACAAGAATTCCAGCAATACAAGTTATATTCTCATAAGTCAAGTCAGTGGCATTTAATAAGCATTAATCTACCTTCCGTTGGGGGAGGGGTAAAAGTAACCGAACCATCCCCCTCCCACAAGGGTTGTCTCACTGTTTGTCTACTGAACTGACTCATTCATGATACAATATTGTATTTGTGTTTCATTAATTAGTATAGACAAGTGATCGCGGGCACCTTCGTGCCCAGTGAAAGTTTGAATGCTCGTGCTTGGCTAGCGTACAGCGAATGAGGGTGTGCCATGTCCGTAGACCTGCATCGTTTTCCATCGTAAATATAATGGTTCATTAATGCCTTCCTAAAGAAACCATTGACATGGGACCAGGTTTGTTCCACTCTACAAATTTTTTGTGATTTTTCCACCAAGTTTGATGAAAAACGATTGTGCCGTTTCTGCTGCCCTGAACAGACAGACAAACAGACGCCTAGTCCTATAGTACAGTTAAAGTAAAAATATCTGGATGCCGGAAATCTGGACCACCCGAGAATCCGGACTTTTCGAAAACTCAAACTTTTTAAATTTAACGGGCTTTTCTGTGTATTTGCGCATGCGTGAGCGCCACAGCTGCACAGCTACAACAAGCGACCACTCTTTCAAACGAGCAATCAAACTGTGACAATGTCTGTAATTTTGAGTCCTACTCTTTCCATTTACAGAGTACAAGCCCATAATAATGGCTCCTAAAGTAGATAAACTTCGTTGTGTGAAGAGAAAAAAGAACACTTTGAAATTGAGTGACAAACTTGAAATAATTAAGAAACTAGAACGTGGTGTGAGCAATACTGTTCTAATGGAAACACATGATCATTGGAAAGTCTACAATTTATGATATAAAAAAGGCAAAGAATAAAATTCTAGAATTCACAGCTTCTTCTGAGCCTTACAATAAAATTGCTGAAAGAAAAAGTTTACATCGGCCAAAATTAGAAAATCTTGATAAAGTGCACGAATGGTTTTTGTTAAAACGATCAGAAGGTATGGCAATTTCTGGGCCGATGCTTATTGCCAAAGCAAAGTCTTTTTAGTAGCAAATGAACATTGAATCAGAGTGCTCATTTAGTGATGGATGGCTTAGGAATTTCAAGACTCATCATGGTATTAGCTAGTTAGATATTGCTGTACCTGTTCATCTCGTCTTTATTCTTCCTTAAATTTGAATTTTAAAAGTACTGCCTGAGAATCCGGAAAATCCGAAAATCTGGACCGACCCAATCCCCAAGCAGTCCGGATTTTTGGACTTCTACTGTATACAGGTACTCCCCGACTTACGACGGGGTTAGGGACCGACATCCAGGTCGTAAGCCGAAATGGTCGTAAGTCGGAAATGCTTAAATTACACATAGAAAATTGAAAATTTGGGTCTCTTTCTTTTCAGCACCACAAAACACTCACTTTTAAGCTTGCCAGCCATTTTAAAATGAATTACAGATGAAAATTCTGTCTGTGTACTGACTCTGGGACTCAAAAATACATAATTTGACCACATTTTGGTATGACTGAGGCGGTCGTAAGTGCGGGTGGACGTAAGCGAAGTCGGTCGCAATTCGGGGACTACCTGTATTAGATACGTTACTGTAATAATCTGTGCTTATTAATACATGTACCCTTCATATACAATGCAGTATAGTACTATGTATATACCTCATAGGTAAAAAATAATGTCATTCAAAACATATTCAGGTCATAAGGCCCACTAATCCCCCACCCAACACTGGGTCAGGTTTGTAACGTGACCAAATAATCACCCACCTAACCTTAATCGCAAATACGAAGACATGATTAGTTATGTATTACAGTACAGTCAATTGAGTGAAGTGTGTAACAGAGACGTGACGATTGCCCAAGCGACTAACGAGCCAATCAGTGGTGAAGAGGATAAAAGTAACAGCTCTACCCTGTATTCACACCCGTATCGTATAGAGCAGTGGTTCTCAACCTTGTTTGCCCCATGCACCCCTTTCACCATATGTCAGAATGTCATTCCCCCCTCCTTTCCAAGATTGTCTGCCTCAAAAAGTGCATTAAAAATAATATGCATATAATACTGAAAATCCTTTATTTTTTCCATATTAGTATCAGTTTCCCCCCTGGTTGAGAACCCCTGGTATAGAGCTTTTAATTTCATATATTTATTTAACCAAACTTTTTGATAAAGTATACAGGATTATTTTGATAAAAAAATGGTATCTAACAAAATTAGAACTGATTTTACTGGCTCCGGCATCAACATTTCTTTTGTTTTTTAAAAGAGAATGGAATTCCCATCACTGTATCACATAGAAATATTTTGTTTAAGGATATCTTATTGGAAATGTTTCGTAGAGAATTTATTAAGGATCATTATGGTATCAAATTCATCTCCCTATCACAATTAGCCACTCTTGAGTGAGGAAGGAAGGAATTGACCACGTGACCCTATCCCCCCACTACCCTCAAAAGGTTGACTCTCACACACTTCAGCCAAACATTACACACACACACACACACTCTCAACAATCACCCACACACACACTCCAACA